TCTCTCTCTCTCTCTCTCTCTCTCTCTCTCTCTCTCTCTCTCTCTCTCTCTCTCTCTCTCTCTCTCTCTCTCTCTCTCTCTCTCTCTGTTTTTCTGTTTCTCTGTGTCTCTCTGAGGCTCTCTCTTCCGATTCCACTTGTTAAAGACAAAAGAAGAAAACAGAAAAAGACGTCCCTTTTTCTCTCTGTTGTTCAAGTATTCGAGATTGGGGTGGGTAGGTGAAGTGGCACTTGGAAGAAAAATGTTTCTTCATGTGTTTTGTGTGGGTGTATAAGGGGGTGCTGCTGGACAATCCATAAGGGGCGTGACAAGCGGCCCGCCAGAGGCTGGAATTGGGGAAGCCATGAAGCAAAAGTACGCCTGCCGACCTGAACTGCGAGATGACAATCGCAATGGTTCAGGTTAGCGGTCACGGTCTCTTTTCTCAATTATTATTTTCTGTTGCTCCCCAAGTCCAGTCTCCAGTTTCAATTATTATTGTTTTGGAATGAAATGAATGTTGTGTTTGAAAAAAAGGAAAGGATAGGTTTTGGAAAAAGGTAGGTAGGTTCGGACTCTTCGGAGGCAGTTCTTTTTTTTTTTTTTTTGGGGGGGGGGGGTTTGGTTTTAAAAAACGAAAAGGATAGGTTTTGGGAAAAGGTAGGTAGGTTCGGAGGCAGTTTGGTTTTTGGGAAAAAAAAAAGAAAGGTTCGAGGCAGTTGCAGTTCATGCGGATGATGGAACATATCGGTTATTCTGTCATCAGAAAGCAAAACGGAACCTGCCCCGGTCCTTAATTCGTTTTTTTCTTGCAATATATTCCGCAACTTCCAAAAAAAAGAAAACGCCATGCCAGACAGATGATTGACTGCACCTGAAATGAAATGTACATGGAAGGGAACAGCGTTCACAGTTACGGTGGCTTCATGGCGTATTTAATTTAATTTAAACCACCAGTACCTCACCCAGCTTGAAAAAGCCGACGCGGCCGTGATACCCACCGACGTGCGACCGGTAGTCCCAAAAAAACGGGCAAAAAAAAACCCAAAACAAAACCGACGAAAATGTAAAACAACGAACAAAAAAGAAACAGGCGCGGCAGGGGGGGGAGAAGGGGGGGAAGAACGAGAGAG